AAGCCAGAGCTATAAAGAGCTCCAGTTAGCACGCTGATGCCCCAAACAACAGATGGGCAGAGGGGTGTGTGTGTAATGATTAGCCAGACTGTGAGCCCAGGAGGAGATGATGGCTCCTGGGGCTGGGAGAGAGAAGCCAGTGGATGGACAGACGCCACTAGCTGCCCATCAGAACCTGCTCTCCTCTCCTTTGGGCAAGCAGCTAGGTGGCATTTCCCAGCATCCTTTGCAGTTGGCTGCGGCCATGTGACTGAGCTCTTGCAGGCTGACCCTCCAAAGCTCCCCTGTGTGCTCCATGATCCCTTTCTTTTCCACCAAGTAGAAGCTGTGGAAGCAATGAAGTTCAGGGACATGGTGGTACCACCAGATGGCCAGAGCCTGAGGTATGAATAAGTGTGAGGAAGGAGGGTGGGCCCTCTCCACCTAAATATCCACCCTGAACCCTGAACTGTTATGTGAGCAGCAGGCTCCCAACACAGCCACTAGGGGGAAGCTTTCTAAGCCAAAAGTACTGAATCATGGAGCCACATGGGTAATGTGAGAGCAGTGTGGTTGGGAGTGAGGCAACAGGGAGAGGTGGGGACTGTGGCAAACTGGAACTCATACCTCATCTAGAGAGTGTGGCCACATTTCACCTCCAACAGCTGTTGCCACAAGGGAATATGACCCAGTCTGGTCAGTAATCTTACTTTCTAGACTTTTCTAGATGCTGGAAATTTAGATGCTACCTCATCATCAAATGGTAGTAACTCATTCACGCTGGCTCGATTCAGCACATCTATGGCTAGATTTGACATATGGGCCACCAGTGTGCAATCTCTGTCTATTTGTTTAATTAATAAGCATTTATTGAGCACCCACTGTGTTCCAGGCAAGGATAAAGCATAGCCTAAGGAATGGCAGAGGGGAGAGAAATCCCCCAGTAGAGACCCAGAGGGATGGACTGGGATGGGAGATCCAGGCTGTTGGAAGTCCCCTTGTTCACCCAGAGTGGTGGCCAGCCCTGGACCGGGGACAGGGTAGTGGTTTCCTCCCGTCACCCAGCCTGTGTGCAGGTACAAAAGCCCTGCCACTCCTGGGGTGGAGGGGCTGCATGGGTGGCCCGGAGCCTCAAGGCTTTTCCAAAGATTTACAGTAGAAAACTTTCCCTCTCCATTGCCCAGAATCGTTAAACTCCCAGCCGTTCGCTAATTACTGTGCCCTTGAGCAAAAATGTTAATCTAAAAAACGTAAAATTATAATGGCTTACTTGACATAACTGGAACAAACAAGATGAGCAGGGAGGCAGCAAACAACAGTGTCACCCACATCAGCCCCCTGTCGGCCCAAGGCCCACCTGGCAGGAGGTGCTGGAGCAGGGCTGGCTAGCGCCAGTCACCAGGAGGAAAGGCCTGAAGCAGGGCGCCGGTGGGTGGAGATTTATGGGCCCCATGTGCCCCTCGCTTTGGGATGTGGCTGAGCACATCTTTCTGCAGTGGGTTTCTGGCCCCGATTGAGAACTCCTCACATCAGGCATGGAGCAGGCAGAGTGGATGTGAATCCACTTCCCGCTGTGTGTCCTGGGGACAGTGACTTTCCCTCTCTGTTTGCCCCTTCCTCATCCGTGAAATGGAGCTAATAAGAATGTCCACCTCTCAGAGTCCTCCTCCACATTACACGTTTGTGAACGCTGAGCACAGAGCATCACACACTGCAAGAGCCGAGTACACGATCGTCACTGCTGTTGGCGCATGGACTGCCCCAGGCCCATCTGAGCAGGAAGAGAGGAGGGGTGCGCCTCTGCCCTTCGTCCCTCTCTTCCTTTGCACGGGCCTGTCCCACCCCTGGCTTTAGCTAGAAGGTCCCCGCTTGGGGGAGGCTCTCATCTACCGGCCTGCCTGCCTGGCTGAGCATCCAGTAAGGAGGATTCTAGAGAGTCTAGAGCCAGCAAGGAGGAGAGAAGGGAGCTGGTAATCTCTGGATGAGAGATGCTGGAGAGCCCTTAGTGAATAACAGCCCAGCCCTTCTTGTCTGAATAGATAAGATGGTGAGTGGGGTGGGACCTGCCTGGGATCCGCCTCTGCCCAGGGTTCATGCACACACACCGGAGTCCACGTGATATGCCCAGAGCCTGTGTGTGGACACTCAGAGCCCCAAGCTCTCTGGATAGTTGTAACCACTGGTACCCTTTGGGCTGCAAGTAACAGAACAAATCTAACTTAAAAGGGCTTAAACCTTTTTTAGAAGTCAGCAAACTACTGCTCATGGGCTGGCTCTCTGTTTTTGTTAATAAAGCTTTATTGGAGCACAGCCACGCCCATCTGTGTATTGTCTCTGGTGGCTTTCACTGCGCAGCAGCAGGGGAGACTCGTTGCGACAGAGACCATCTAGTCAGCAAAGCCCAATGCATTTACTATTTGGTCCTTTACAGAAAAAGTCTGCCAACCTCTGGCTTAAACAATCAAGGAGACCAATTACGTCATTTGAATGCCGAGAATGAAAGTGGCGCACCAGTCATGGCACACCATGACTGGGCAACTGATCATCCCCAAATTTAGAGACTGAGACCAACAGTAATCATAGACTATCTTACAGTTTCTGTGAGTCACGGATTTGGGGAGTGGCTCTCCTGGGCATGCTGAGCACAATGTGTCTGAGGGGTTGCAGCGGGAGGTGTTGGAGGTTCATGCCAGGTCGTGTAGACGCCATCTGCATCTCTGTGCCTGGCACCTGGGCTGGGAAGATACACAGCTGGCATTTCTTGGGTATCTCCCTTCCTCTTTGTGTTCTTTCCAGCATGGCAGACTCAGAAAAGCCAGACTTCTCACACTACAGTTCATGGTTGGGTGTCCCAAGTATGTCCCAAAGAAGAGCCAGGTAGAGGTCATTCGACCTTTCTGACCAAAACTCAAAGTCAGGCAGCATCCCTTTCTCTGCCCTCAATGGTCGAAGCCGTCACAAAGGCCCACTCAGCTTCAAGGAGAGTGACCTGGACCCATCTCTCCAATGCCTCAATATGGCCACCAAGAATTCAGGATCCTTCCATTTTCCTATTCTACCAACCTTGCTTGGTGCTCAGCTAATAGCCCCATGGTCACAAAGTGGCTGCTGGAGATCCAGCATTTTAGGCAAACACAGCAACATCTAACAGAAGAGGAAACAGTCTTGATCTTGTATCTCTCTTTTGTCCCCAACATTTTTATTGAAATGTAAGATACAAAAGAGTGCATAAATCATAGGCATAGAGAGCATTATATTCCCAAAAGTGCACATGTAGTGTGGCCAACACCCAGACAGACAACACGACCAAAAGCACCCAGAAGCCCCGTTACTCTCCCTCAGCCACTACCCCACCTTGCTCCTCAAAGGTGACCTCTATCACCTCAGCCAAATCTTGGCTGTTTTTGCCTTTTATATAAGTGGAGTCACAGCCACACATGCTTGTATGTCTAGCTTTTCTCACCCAACATCACATTTCTGAGCTTCTTCCACACCATGGAGTGCACTGGCAGGCAGTTCTTTTTCACTGCTCTGTAATATTTCATTGCAAGATCCCCACAGTTTATTTTTCCATTCTCCTGTTGAGAGACACGTGGGTTGCTGGAGCAATTATGAAAAGTCCTGCAGTTAGTAAACTCGTAGGTGTTTCCCTTTGGAAATACGGGTGCATCGGCTGTAACACAAGGAGAGGAACTGCTGGGTTACTTGGTAGGCGAAGTTCAGCTTCAGCAGAAGCTTCCAAAGTGGCCAACAACGTCCCTGGCACCAAGTTCAGAAGCCCCAGCAGCCCATGCTGGCTGACCCATTCTGTCCAGTCTCCTGCCCCAGTGTCATCCAGTCCTCCGCCACCCGCTTCTTTCCTGCCTTCCAGGGTCCAGTCGTCAACTCCAAGGTGGGCTGTAAACACAGGACCCAGTCACCTCCAGAGACAAGGGCTGCAGATGGCACCTCAGTAAAGGACTTTCCAATCTACAGGTTTCAAGTGGACTTCCTTTCTTTCCTTCCTTTCTTTCTTTCCTTTCTTTCCTTCCTTCCTTTCCTTTCCTTTATTTCTTCCTTTCCTTCCTTTCTTCCTTTTTCTTTTCTTTTTTTTTAGGATAATAGGAAGGCTGATTCTTGCAAAATGTTTAGGAAAAATTTACAAGTCTAAAGAAGAAAATAAAGTCTTCTGTCACCCCACTGTGGTGCAACAATCTCCAATATTTTAATATATTTCTTTCCAGTCTTTTTTCTGTGCGTTTATATGGACATATGATTGTGGCTAAATTTCATAACATACTTACTGTATGCCAAAGCACTGTTTCCTCTAAAGTATTTCACATATATTAATTCATGTAAATTTTCATAACAATCCATTCACTTTCCAGATGAGGAAAATGAGGCCCAGAGAGGTAAGGTGACTTGCCCAAGGTCACACAGCAGTTCATTAGTACAGCAAACAGTCACACTCAGCTTTCTCAGCCCAATTTTGCTTTTAACCACTGTAATGTCCTTCTCCTGGTCTTGTTTTTATTCACCCGGAGTCAGAGGGTGCAGCGTGGACATGGTCATGGATTTAGGAGTTCCGACTTCAGAGTGTGGGAGACCCCTCCTCCCAGCCCGCAGCCTCAGGACAGTGGTCATGGAGAGCCAGTCCGCCCTCCTTACCTCCCTGGCCCCAGAGTCCCTTCAGAAGAGAGACGTGCGGGGTGTTTACCTGCCCACAGCCAGGTGCCTTTTGCTTCCGCATCTGAAGATGAACATCTGTTGGCCTCCAAGTGGATTTCTGGGGAACGCCAAGACATTATTCATCAGGGCAATAAATAGAAAGACAGTCACACTGCCCAGGGCTGTGTCCTCTCCAGTGCATGCTGGGTCACTGACACACAGGCGGCATTTCCCAGGTGCCCCCAGGGGATGCTGGCACCTGGAAGCTCTGGCTCAGTTCACAGTGGGCACCTTCAAAGGCAGCAAGAGCCAGCCTCTCGGAGACCAGTGGTGGCCGGGGCTGCCCCACCCAGCACTTGGGTTCTCCTACTCACCATGCCAACTCCTTGGGCAAGGTCAGCCTCCCTGGGTTTTCTCATCTGGAAAGTGGACGCAATGGTACCATCTTTCATCGCCACGAAGCTGCCATCGGTGTGGGCTGCACAGTGATGTGTACCACGAAGGAGGAACTGCTGCCATTTAAACTGCTGTGAGCCACTGGTTGGCAGAAATGTTTTGATTTCAGCGATGAGGGGAAATGGGCTTCTGAGCGACAAACTCACATCAACCGGCCTCATGGGCTGCTGCAGAGAGCAGATGATCGAATACGTGTAGGGTACTTGCAGCATGGCTCGGCGCTGGTGCTGCCATGTGGTCACCGCACCATTCTCCTCTTTCTCTTGTTTTGTGGGAAGGGGTGAACAGCGCTGCCAATTGCCCCAAGGGGAATTCATCTCTGGACCTCCACTCTGCAGTCTGTGGTCCTGGCTTTTTGTCCTCCACCCCCAGTGGCCAGGGGGATCACCCCTTGGTGACCTCATTATTCTCTCTGCTCTGATGAAGGGTGCAGAGGTGGCCCTAAGGCAGTGAGGACTCCTCATCGGGGTGATGTCCCCATGGAGATGACCTTCCAGGGCAGAGAGAGACAGGCAACAAGCAGACGGACAAGGAACACTCCATTATGTCAGGGAGGCACAGGGCCAGGAAGAAAATTCAGCAGAAAGCAAGGCAGGGCGATGGGGTGGGTCCAGGCTATTTAGATAAGGAGGCCTGGGAGGGCAACTGACATGGGAGGTGAAAGGTGAGAAGGAGCCAGCCAGGCAGATCTCTGGGGGAAAGGCGTTAAGGCAGGGGAGGGGGTGCAACAAGTGCAAAGGCCCTGAGGCAGGAACAAATCTGTGTCTGGAGATCAGAAGGCAGACCGCTGAGGACTGAACAGAGTAAATGGTAGTGGACATGGGTAGGCGATGAGATGGGGAGGTGGGCATGGGCCTTGAAGATCATGTGATGTGCGTGGATTTTCTTCTGGGAACAATGGGGGCCACTAAGGGTTAGAGCCGGGGTGTGGCCTAGTATGGGTGAGGGTTGCAAAGGTTGCTCTGGCTTTTGTGGGGCAAGGGCAGTACCAGCTTCATAGGTGCATCCTGGAGGTTGCATGAAAGAATCCATATAAAGTACTTTCACTGCACTTGACACATAGTAAGTGCTCAGCTAACGGTGCTCAATGTGGACACTGTTATTATTATTAATATTGCATTTCCCATATGACAGCAGAGACCTCACTCCTGACATGCATCCAATCCCCCAAAGCTCAAAATCTGTCTAGGAAGATTAATTCCTCCAAGCCAGGGAGCCCCGTCCTCAGGCCCAAAAGGGCCCCAGGGCCTCGGGGGAAGGCAGGTCAGCTGGGGCCACCCACCCCTAACATCCCTTCTCACACCTTGGAATGTTCCTCGGTCCCGAACAGGCTGAGTCAACAGCCCCAGCTCACTCCCCGCCTTCTTCTCTCAGCTCCCTAGAAAAGCCGCCATCTGTGTGCTCTGAACGCGCTTACCAACTGGAAAGGCTCCCTGGCCCCAGCTCTGTTCCCTGCTCAGAGTTCTCCGTGGATCTTGGCTGCAACAGCCACCAACTTGATATCTGTGAGTTAATATTCCACGTGGGCTCACTGAGTTTCCCCAAGTCAGGGACTGTCAAAGTCTGCAGGAAATTCTGAGGTGGCCGAGCTCAGGACTGGTGAATACAGAGCACTTTCCCATGCCACACCTGAGCAGACATCACTAATCGATCTCAGTTCTCTCTCCTTTTGACCTTAAACATCCTCGAGATCTTCAACCTGGACTCTCAGGTGGCCACACCCTATGGCCAGGAATTAGCATAGTGTAAAAGCTCCTTGCTTTGCCCAGTCTAACACAAAGCCCTCACTGTACACCAGGAAAACTAAGGCCCATTTATGGGAAAGAACTAGAATTCAGGCCCCCTGACTCCCAGCCTACAGTCTCACTCCTCAAGGGCAAGGGGATGTCTGTCATTTATGTCCTCCCTAGAGACTTGGCTATAGCAGATATTTGTTCAACAAATCACAGGAATTAAATAAACAAAAACCAAAGAAAGAAAAAAGAGTTTCAGCTGCAATCGGTGGGAACTGGGTTGGATGCGAGGGAAAAATCATGACATCGAGGGTTGCTAGATATTTAGAAAAGTTGCTAAGGGAAATTTTCAGAGTATCTTTCCTTGCAGGACTTTAAAAATAGTCCTGGAAAAAAAAATAGTCCTGATTAAGTACCCATCTGGCTGAGAGGCTCCCACAGAATTCTGACTTTATTATTCATTCATCGTTGACAAGTGTTTGCTGAGCATCAACTATACGCCAAGCGTAAATCAGTCGTTGAATTAAAAAGCAAAAATAACAGCTCAAATCTGTGTCTCTGTATCCATGAGAGGTCTTGGGCTGTGTGCATCAAGCCAAGTCTGGGAGATGAGTTCATTACATACTGCTGCATAACAAAGTACCCTAAGACATACTGGCTTAAACCAACAATAAATATTTAGCATCTCACGTAGTTTCTGTGGGTCAGGGATATGAAATCAGCTTATCTGGGTGGCTCTGCTTCAGGGTCTGTCTTGAGGTTGTAGTCAAGATGTGAGCCAGGGATGTGGTCATCTGAAAGCTTGACTGGGGCTGGAGGACCTGCTTCCAAGATGGCATACTCAATGGCTGTTGGCAGGTGGCTGAGTCAGCTCAGGCTGCCATAGCAAAAGACCACAGACTGGGTGGCTTAAAGAACAGAAGTTTATTGTTTCACACTTTTGGAGGCTAGAAGCCCAAGATCAAGGTTGTCGGCAAGGCTGGTTTCTCCTGGTGCCTTCCTCCTTGGCTTACCGATGGGCACTTCTCACTGTGTCCGCACATGGCTTTTCCTCTGTGTGTACGTCCCTGGCGTCCTTTTCTTCTTGTATAAGGACACTAGTCAGATTGGATTAGGGCTCACCCTAACAGACTCATTGCAACTTCATCACCTCTTTAAAGGCTATTTGCCAGATACAGTCACATTTCAAGGTATGGGGCTCAGGGCTTCAATGTAGGCGGTGGGGGAGGGGCACAATTCAGCCCTTAACAGCAGACCTCAGGTCCTCGCTGGCCGTTGGTGGGAGCCCTCCGTTCTTTGCTCCTAGCTCTGCAAGACGTGTCCCAGCATTGTCCTGTCCCTCCCCACGATGAAGCTCCAGTCCCATCAGGGTTAAATCTCATCTCACCAACCTATGGATCTGAGCACTTTTCACATAGCATCCAGCCTGAGCCCGTCAGTGATTCACTCAACAAACGTTCACGCTCCAACATGCCCAAGGGCTGAGGGTGCCATGTCAAAAAAAAAAGGAAGTCCCAGCCTTTAAGGAGCTCACAGTTCTATAGGTGGGACAGAGAAGCAAGTGTGCCATCCCAGAACAGAGTGAAGATATTTTAAAATAGTAAGTCATCACTTACTGAGTGCACACTGCGTACCCCAGCTCTTTACCTATGTTAACTCACTGACCCCTGGGGGAGATACTGTCGTCACTCCCCCTCTACAAATGAGGAATCGGAGGTGCAGAGGGGATAAGTAACCAGCCCATGGTCCTATTGCAAAGGCAGAGCTAGGGCTCCAGCTCAGGCACCTGGGCTCCCCAACCCAAGATTTCCAATCATGATTCTTAGTGAGTGGGGAAACCACAAGATATAGTTCGCACCCAACAGAGTGGCAAAAACTATAAAGTCCTGCGATACCAAGTGCTGGTGACAATGTGGGATAATGGGAATCCTCATGCTCACAGGTTGGGGTGAAAGCTGGCGCTGCCATTTTGAAAATCAGTGCAATATTAGGGACCAACATTGAAGGTCCTATCCCATGATCCAGACATCCCACTGCTTGGTGTTGATTCTCAAGAGAAATGAAATTCTACATCCACGCAAAGATGAGTACTCATAGCAGCTTTCGTCTGGAAACTGGAAAAAACATGTCCATCAACACAGGAATGAGTGAACCAATCCCAGCGTATCTGCACCACGGAATCCTCCTCAGAAACGAAAGGAATCAAAGAACTGATGCACACAGCCATCTGCGTGGACCTCATGCCTGTGGAAAAACCACATTTGGAGGAAAACAGACCATTTGAGTCCATTTTTTTTCTGAAAGAGGCAAAACTGCCCGACAGTGTTAGGGATGCCTATCTGGGTGGTTAACCTGTAACGCGAATAAGCGAGGAAAGAGAGGTTGCAGGAGGCAGGTAGGTGGTTAGCCCCTGGGGAGAAGGCGGGGATGGTAACTGGGAAGAACCACACGGGTGGTGGGCACGGTGTGGCTTCCCCGGGGCGGCCATGTTCTTCTCTTGCCCTGGGATCTGGTACACGGGTGCTGGCTTCGTAATTGTATTCCTTACTCCGTTAATGTATCATTCTCCACACAAACTCTATTCCAGCAGGAAAAAGTTCACAGGCTTTGGTGCTCAGCATGATTAACTATTTCTTGAGCACCCACTACATGTCAGACTTGATGCTAAACTATTAGGCATACAGGAAGAACAAGACAGATGTGATCTCTGTCCACAAGGCACTGATGGACAAGTGAGAGAGATGGGTATTAAACAGATAATGCTGAGCTGGGGGAATCATGCTCCCTGACTTCAGGCTATACTACAGAACTACTGTGATCAAAACAGTGTGGTACTGGCACAAAAACAGAGACACAGATCAATGGAACAGGATAGAAAGTCCAGAAATAAACCCACACATTTATGGTCAATTAATCTATGACAAAGGAGGCAAGAATATGCAATGGAGAAAAGACAGTCTCTTCAGCAAGTGATGCTGGGAAAACTGGACGGCTACCCATAAAAGACTGAAATTAGAACATTCTCTAACATCATGTACAAAGATAAACTCAAAATGGATTAAAGACCTAAATGTAAGACCAGATACTGTAAAACTCCTAGGGGAAAACATAGGCAGAATAATCTTGGACGTAAATCACAGCAATAATTTTTTCAGACCAGCTCCTGGAGTGATGGAAATAAAAGCAAAAATAAACAAATGGGATCTAATTCAACTTAAAAGCTTTTGTGCAGCTAAGGATACCATCAACAAAACAAAAAGACA